ATACAAATGACTTTTTTTTTATTGCAAATCCTTTTAAACAACTTTTAAACTTTTATACAAACACATGGACGTCACCAGATAGCATACACAGAAATCAAATTGACTACATCTATGGAAAGAGATTGTGGAAAAGCTCCATACCATCAGCCAAAACCAAGCCAAGGGCAGACTGTGAAACAGACCATCAATTTCTCATATGCAAGTTCAGCCTGAAGCTGAAGAAAATTAAAAGTAGTCCACGAGAGACAATATATTACCTTGAATATATCCCACTTGAACTTAGAGATCATCTCACGAACAGCTTAGATGCATTACCAAACCAGAAGAATTGTGGGATGACATCAAGAACAAAATATAGGCAGAAAGCAAAAGGTCTTTAAGAAGAAAAAAAAAAAGATCAAATGGATGTCAGAAGACTCTGTAATTTGCTATCCAGTGTAGAGATGCTGCAAATATCCATTAATGAGGAGGTAAAAGAGCTGAACAGAAAACTTTATACGGGGAAGCCTGAGAAAACAAACTCAAATATTATGATGAAATGTGCAAAGACCTGGAGTTAGAAAACAAAAGGGAAGAAAGAACACACTCAGCATTACTCAAGCTGAAAGAACTGAAGAAAAAAATGCAAGCCTCGACTTGCAATATTGAAGGATTCTATGGGCAAAATATTGAATGATGCAGAAAATATCAAAAGAATATGGAAGTAATACACAGCGTCACTGTTCCAAGAAGAAATGGTCGGTGTTCAACCATTTCAAGAACAAAAGTCAATGATATTGAAAGATTAAATCCAAGGTATACTGAGCATGTTATCAAAGAACAACACTCCAGGAATTAATGAAATACTAATAGAAATCTTTCAATAAACTGAGGCAGCATTGGAGACACTCACTCTTCTATGCGAAGAAATCTGGAAGACAGCTACCTGGCTAACTGATCGAAAAGAGATCCATATTTGTGTCCATTGCAAAGAGGGGGCCCAACGGAGTGTGGAATCATCAGACAATATCATTAATGTAGCATATAAGTAAAATTTCGCTTAATATAATTCAAAAACAGCTGCAGCAGTACATTGACAGGGAGCTGCCAGAGGTTTAGGCCAGATTCAGATGGCAACATAGAATGAGGGGTAGGTATCATTGCTGATGTCAGAAGGATCTTGCTGAAAGCAGAGAATACCAAAAGATGTTTACCTGTGCTTTATGGACTATGGAAAGGCTTTTGATTTTGTGGATCATGAAAAGTATGGATAATGTTGCAGAGAATGAATATTCCATAACACTTAATTGTGCTCATAAGGAACTTGTACATAGATCAAGAGGTAGTCATTTGAACATAACAAGAGAACATAGCGATTTAAAATTAGGAAAGGTGTGTGCCAGGGTTGTATTTCTTCACCATATTTATTCAATACATATGCTGAGCAAATAATCTGAGAAGTTGGACTATATGAAGAAGAACATGGCATCTGGATTGGAGACTCATTAACAATCTGCCATACGCAGATGATAAAACCTTGTTTGCTGAAAAAAAAAAAAAAAAAAGACTTAAAATACTTACTGATGAAGATCAAAGACCACAGCCTTCAGTATGGGTTGCACTTCAATGTAAAGAAAACAAAAATCCTCACCACTGGACCAATAAATAATATCTATACAAGTGGAGAAAAAATTGAAGTTGTTAAAAAGCTTCTTTTTGCTCAAATCAACCATCAACACTCATGGAAGCAGCAGTCAAGAAATCAAATGACGTACTGTGTTCAGAAAATCTGCTGCACAAAACCTCGTTCAAGTGTTCAAGAGCAAAGATATAAATGTGAGGACTCAAATGTACCTGACCCAAGCCATGGTATTTTCAATAACTTCACATGCATGTGAAAGTTGGACAATGAATAAGGAAGACCACAGAAGAGTTGATGCATTTGAGTTATGGTTTTGGAAGAGAATATTAAAAGTACCATGGACTGCCAGAAGAACAAAGCTGTTGGAAGAAGTACAGTCAGAATGCTCCTTAGAAGCCAGGATGGCCAGACTTTGTCTCTCATACTTCAGACATATTATCAGGTGGGAACAGTCCCTGGAGAAGAACATCATGCTTGGTAAAGTGGAAGGTCAATGAAAAAGAGGAAGACCCTCAACAAGATGGACTCAACTTAGTACAGTGGTAGCAGCACTAAGCTCAAGTGTAGCAACAATTGTGAGATTGTCACCATGTTGGGCATTGTTTCATTCTGTTGTGCATACTGTCACTATAAGTCTGTAATAACAACAGAAGATGGACAAGGCTTTCTTCCAGGGTGCCTCTGAATGTATTCAAACCTCCAACCTTTTGATTAACGATTGAGTACTTAAGCACTGGACCTCAAGGATGGTTTGAACTGCAAGGTCAGCTGTTCAAACTCACCAGCCCCTCCTTGGAAACCCTATACAGGGTTGCTATAAATCGGAACTGGCCCAATAGTACTTACAACAACATAACCATTTAAGGAATCATGGTAGCATAGTGAGTTATGAGTTGAGCTGTTAACCTTAAGGTCAGCAATTGGAATCCATCAGATGTTTCATACAAGAAAGATGAGGCTTTCTGCTGCTACCATAAAGATTTACAACCTCAAAAACCCTATACCTAGGGTCTCTGAGTCAAAAATGACTCAACAGAACACAACTACCACCACCACTTAACCAGTTCACCAAGAATAAATAACCCCTATTTATTCTTGAGCTGAAACTTGACTCTGAAACTTCTTCTTGAATGCAGAGTAACTGAAATCAGAGGAATAAATGATGACATAAAAGAACTGAGCCTAAGATTTTAAAGACAAAGTATTATGATGAAATGTGCAAAGACCTTGAGTTAGAAAACCTAAATGGAGAACACACTCAGAATTTATCAATCTCAAGGAACTGAAGAACTGGTCAATATTCAACCTTTTTAGGAGGTAGTCTATGATCAAGAACCAGTGGTACTTAAGGAAGACATCCAAGTTTCACAAAAGCATTGGCCAAAAACCAGTCTCCAGAAATTGACAGAAAACCGATTGAGACATTTCACTAAATGGATGCAACATTGGAAGCTCTCACTCTTTCAAAGAAATTTGGAAGACAGTTATGTGGCCAACCAGCTGGAAGAGATCCATTATTTGTGCCCATTCCAAAGAAAGGTGATCCATCAGAATATGGAAATTAGCAAACTATATCATTAATATCACATGCAAGTAAAATTTTGCTGAAGATAGTTCAAAACCGGTTGTAGCAGTACACAGATGGGGAACTGCCAGAAATTAAAGTTGGACTCAGAAGAGATCTTGGAACAAGGGCTAACATTGCTGATATCAGCTGGATGTCTGCTGAAAGCAGAAAATAACTAAACTGTTTATCTTTGTTGCATTGAGTATGCAAAGGCATTTGACTGTGTGAATCGTAACAAATTATGGATAACTTTGCTAAGAATGAGAATTCCAGAATATGTAATTGTGCTCATATGGAACCTATGCATAGAAGACAACAAACAGTTGTAAAGACTGGTGATCCAGAGGTGCTGTGCTGTGGGAGAAAATCCTAGTGATTTCCTTCTGTAATGTTTACAGCCAGGAAAAGCTATAAAGTAGTTCTACTCGGTAACACGTGGGGTCATCATGAGTTAGAATCGACAGCAAGACAACGGGCATTCTTGAACTTACCACATGACTTTCTGTGCCTGTAACCAATCAAACCTCAACCAACGAGTATCTGCACATGGTCTTCCTAAGCCCACCATGGCCCCAAGCCTTAGCAAACATAGATGGCAGCACCTGCTGAAACCAGAGCCCAGGTGGCGTGCTTTCATTATACATCCTGCAAAACAAAGACACAGAAGCATTGGCTCACCCGATTGCTTTTTCTCAAGAAGGGAGAGTTTATTACAGGTTGGGTACACTTGTAGAAGGCAAAATCTTACAATAAGGATAAACTACAGGGCCCACCAGTTTAGAAGGTGGGCAGGTAAAACAAATACAATAGTTATGTACAATTATTAAAAAGAGCAAGGGGGTAGGGAAAAAAGGAAAAACTGCCAGCAGTCTTCCGGAAGGTTAATAACAGAAGACGCCCCAGAGGACCTGACCGGCCCCAGTCCTGACTGTGCCTCATTGGTGTTTCCTTGGTCTTTGTCTCCAGCCCCTGCTCCAGAACAAAAAGCCGATGATGAAAGGAGACACTGGTGGCCACTACAGACACCTCGCTTATTCCACTCTGCTAGCAGCTGATGTGCTGAGAAGAAGCCAAGGTGGCCAAGGGTGACGCTGCATGCACCAAGCCTCTCGTGAAGGAACCCAAAGTTCATTAGCATTTCCTAATAAATATGGGAAAGGATGGGAAGGGGGGAACACAATGTCTAGGGAAGAAGGTGACCTTCTCCTGTGGTCTGTGTACAAATAAATACCCAGCGTGTTGTCTAATGGTTGTGACATTCTCTCTGGGCCTCTGAGATCCCTTCTCAGGCCTGGAGTCATAGTCTGCTGACCACAATGTCTGTCAGTGATCATTTCCTTATTAGAAAGCCAGTCCCCTCTTACAAGCCTCAGCTCAGGAAGGTGTCCTGGCCCCTCTGGCAGGACACTCACAAAAGGGCAGATGCAGTTGCAAGTTCTTTGTAAGAAAAAAAGGAGCGTTCCGAGTTTACGTAAATAAGGGTGAGCTCTTGATTCATCCAAAGAGTAGTTTCTATAAAAATGTATTTGATGCTGGATAAAGGTTGCATGTGTTCTCCTAGTGAGGCTGCAAGAAGTCCACTAAGTTGAAACCATGGATGAGTTAAAACGAGAGTCTCTCTGAATATCTGTCCTGAAGTGGACAAGGTGTCCCACTCCAGGTACTGGAGGGCAGAGTCCAGGGCACCAGATGAGGCAGAGAGCCCACAAGAAGGGCTCCGAGCAGCCTGAAGGCAGCCTGCAGACAGACAAGACTGCAGGAGCCGCTGTGATGGGAGACCTAGGGACAGGGCTCCGGCTGGCCAGTGGCTGCTCAGTCCCGGTGGCGGCGCCAGGTCCCAGCCCGCTCACAGCCGGGGGCAGCAGGAGGGGAGGGTGGGGTGGGAGAATTGGGGCGGGCAGGAGACCCCTCAGCCGAGGGAGGAGCTGGAGAGGTCTGCTCCAGAGCCGCTCTGCTGCCATCGGGGCCATGCTTGCTGCCGAAAATCTGCCCCTCCTTATCTAGAGCCGTGTTCTGAGGAGAAACCAGCAGAGACAACATGTTAGCCCAGCTCAAGCTCAGGTAGCAGCCACCACGACCAGAGGGCACGACCGGGCATGCAGGGCCAGAAACAGAGGAGGAGAAGTAACAGCGGCTGCTTGGCTAGCACAAGCCTATGGACCAGCGGTGGCCTCGGCACCCAGGCAGGGCAGGGTGGGAAATGAGGAACCAGGAACCACCAGGGATGGATGGCAACTCTTTTCTAGTTCAGAGCTGCGCCTGACTTGACTTCTCTTCCCCGCCCCTCAGACTGTGAGTCAAAAAGAATCCCGAGGCAATAAGCAAACCCCATGAGGATGATCAGTCTTTGAAGGTTTCCTTTTCTAATGCAAATTCTCAGTCACAGATTAAAAAATTACTCACATGTCAAATCAATGTTACCCCCTTATAACCCAAATGGCTGTACACAGACAAGGCCAACAGATCAGAAAGTGCAGTGTTAGCAATGATCATTTTTTAACCCTTCACCATCTCCCTAGCTGTTTCTGTCTTTGGGTGGGGCCTTCTTTACATTCTCTCTCTCACACACATACCCCTCAGGGAGCACAGAAACAGCTGCTCACAGGGAAAGGAGTCACCTGGCTTTCTGGCCCTGGGTTGGGAGGCCCCTCTCGGACTCAGTCCAGATAGTGCTTGCTTTTCCAGTGACTGGGCCCTCCAAACGTAGAGGTACCTTTTGCCAAAAAGGGGCAAAGACCAAGAAGCATTCTGGAATCTAACGACCCTGAGGCAGGGTGGCAGAGTGTGGACAAAATACAAAACAAAGATTTGTGCCGCTGCTGTAAGCGTACTTAGTGTCAATTGTAAAATGGGTGTTCTCCACCTGGTCCTTCTGAGGCCAGGAATTAAGCAATTCCAAAGGACAAAGAAGTAACTATGGAAAGGCCAAATCAGAAACTCGCATAGCCCTTTAATAGGATGTTGAGCTTGTAGCACCCATGCAGGCCACAACTCCACCTGCACTAAGACCCCAGAGAGGCAGTGCACTGCTCCCTACCACACACCCTCTTCTGTGCCCAAGAAAACAGCGCCGGAGTGATTTCTCCTTTTCTCTTCCTGTGATTAGAATGTGAATGTACGCAGCAGAACAGAGCAGCGCAGTGCAGTTAGTACATACCATCGCCTTGGACCTAGTCAGAGGGAAGCAATGCAGGCAGCGGGAGAGGCGAGAGTAGTGGGGAGAGAAGCAGGGACAGAAACTAGACTTACTTTAAACAGAAGCAACATGGTAGAAACATTTTTCTCTATCTTAAATTAAGGAACGAAACCCCACATCATTCCCAAGCTCTCCCATGAAAGGAAATGGAAACCCTCCCGCCCCCAGATGATAAGTGGAAAAGGCAAATCCATTTTAATTCACCTTTATTCACATCAGCCTTGGGAGATACCCAATAAATTATAATTCCCCTTTCTGCCACAAGGTGGCCTCTTCTTTTTACTGGGGCTGGGATGTGTGGCCTGGGGTTCACAGTGGATCTGCTCTGCCACTTTACTATCCTAAGTGTGCTAAGGAAAAATCACAGTAAAAGGAAGAACAGTTCCAAACCACAGGCCTCAAACTCAAGCCTCCTTAGTATAATTTTCTCTCATCCCAAGGGCTGGCTGTCTTGACATTGCCTGGTTGATAAAAATGCATCTTTGGAAATGTAGTTGGAGAAACTGCTCTCACCACCAAGAGATGCATTTTCACCTAAGGCAAAACCAGCACTGGAGAGAACCACAGGCCGCTTGCTCCTCCTCTGAACTTGCCAGCTTTTGATCTGGGAAGGAAAGCAGTGTGGCAAGCCAAGAGGATTACCCTAAATCCGTTTTCCAAGAGTGCGGCTTGGCTGGCTGCAGAGGTTGTCAGTAAGTGCAGGAAAACCTACCCAGAAGCTCTGAGCTGGCTGGTCAGGTATCTGAGACAGGCATGCAGATTTAAGAAAGGCTGAGAATTAGAAGCTGCTCTGATTAAGCACAGCAGGTGGAATACCAGAATTCTGCTTCAGGTTTCCCAGAGTCTCAACATGGAAAGACTGAAACTCTGAAGTGTCTCTCAAACTGTCAAATCAAACTGCCAAATAAAAGGTAGATAGCAGCATCAACTTGCCTTTCTTTCTTTCATCCTTATTCATCATCCCTATGTTACAACTTTCTCACTAGATCCCCAGGCACTACCTTGGGGAGAGAGCAATTAGGGGGATGAGAACCTTAGGGGATAAAGGGTTGATACTCTAGATTGCAAAGTCAGTTTGGACCACAAGGTCAGTGGTTCAAGCTCACCAGTCGCTCCTTGGAAATCCTCTATAGGGTCGCTATAGGTCAGAACCAATCCAACAGCACTTAACAACAACAACATAAGTCCTACAGAGTCCTGGTGTGGTACTGTAAGATAAGTAATGAATGAACTGCTAACTACAAGGTCAGCAGTTCAAACCCACCAGCAGCTCTTAGGAAACCCTATACAGGGTTGCTATGAGTCGGAACCGACTCAACAGCACTTAACTATAACAACAAGTTATGCAGCAGGTACCCGACAATTCAATCTCAAAAGCATTTATAAACTAATCCCACTATTATCTAGAGGAAACCATTACTAGCCTCACTTACACAGTTTAGAGAACATTTGAATACCAGAGAGAATAAGTTTGTGGTGAATTACTTTTCATCTAAACACACACACACACGGAAAAAATACATTGAATTCCAAGGACATCTAACTCCTAGGACAGGAAGCACAGACAGATATTAATTGGTGGCGAGGATGATGATGAGGACAAAGAAGCATGGCAAACCCCCCTTTCTCCCCCACCCCCACATGGCAAGCCTCCCCCAGGCCACGTCCTGAGTTGGTTGTGAATTAGCATGACATCAACATGGAAGCCTTCTCCTTGCCACTGCTTCTGGGGACAAGCCAAAATTCATAGGCAGCCTTTTGGCCACTGAGACTTGCTACAGTCTGAGGCAAGCCTTATTGATCTCTCCTGTAGGTGACAAATGAGTTCAGGTCACTCAGCAATTCCTCAGAGCTAACAGCCTGCACAGTTGTATAGGGAGCATGGGGTTAGACAGGGACCCTGCCAACATACTCAAAATGGCAACTTAATACACATTTATACACATAACCTTCTCATTCACCAATGGAATTCCAAATCATAAAGGGTCCTCATTTACACAAACATCCATTTAAAGCTGGGGGAGCTGAACTGAACTGTTCAATCTTTTGTCAGCCAGTGGAAGACCAGCATCGAGAAACCACACAAGGCTGGCTCTGTCCGAGTGAGTCCAAACATTCATTATCCAGAACAGAGTCTATGTGGACTGTAAGGTAAATACGGGCTATGTCGTCCCAAGGAGACCTGTGGCTGAGAGATGGGCATAACAAGGCTACGGATTCCCATTGGGGCCATGAGTAGGAAGGTGCCTAGACAAAGGTAGTGAGTTCTCCTAAGTCCTAGCCACAACCCTGTGAGGTTCTTCCTCCTAAAAGACTGTAAAGTTGAATTAAAATACAGTTATTCAATTTTAGGGGGGGCTGTGCATGTGGTTTCCCTTTAGTTTCTCAAATCTCCCTTCTTAAGGGTTTCCATTATGTACTAACTATGTAAGCTGTTAATATATATATATTTTTTTTTTCAAATTTTACCTGAGTCTGCCTTAAAACGTAGCACAAGGCAAAGCACACTCTTTGTCCTACCCATTAATGTTTTATCTCAGAAGTGAATCACCTGATTCACTTGAAGAAAAACCACATTCTTACGCTATTGGCTCAGTCAAGATGGCTCTTTCCAAAGTGTTCCAGCTGTAACTTTGTGACAAGCCCAGCTTTGTCAGGCTTTCAGAAGAACACTGCCAACATACTCAGAAACAAACATAACTCAAGAGACCTTGTTATTCATTTGGTACAGAGCATCCTAAAGACCTGCACCAGGTTGAGTCCTGGTTTGAAAGTTCAGGCACATCTGGAGGGTGAAGACCGCCTTCCTATGGGAGAGGATGAGGAAGCACAAGTGTCTGCAGCCCTCCCTGAGGGAGAGAGGAGGATGACGGAGCGGAGGGTGCTAGGAGCCTGGTGGATGCTCCATAGACATACCAGAGCTCTTCATAGTCCAAAGGTGGGTGCAGACGGCCATGTGTGTGGGGTACATGAAGCAGGTATAGGAGTAGGGGGTGTATGAAGTGTGGTGTGTGTATGTGGGATGGGGGTATGTATGAATGTGTAGTGTGCATGGTGTATGATGTGTGGTTTTACACATGTAGCATTTGTGTGGCGTATGTGGGGTATGCCTGGCATACATGGGGCATATGGGAGTTGAGTATGTATGGTTTGTGGGGCACAGGGTAGGGGATGTGTAGGTATGTAGACTGCACATGGCGTGGGGATACAGGAGGGTTAGGGGGTGAGATGTGTGTGTGGTATGAGGGGCAGGGATGTGTGTGGGGTGAGTGGTCTGTGTGGTGCATATGGGACGTGTCAGTGTGATGTGTGTGTAGAGATTTGTGTGGTATGTGTGCTGTGTAGGGTGTATGTGGCATATGTGAATGTGCAGTGTGTGTGGTGTGTGCTTGGTGCTAGTGTGTATGTAGTTTCCCACCAGCTATCTGAATCCCACCTAACCTAGATTATAATGTGCCATGAGAACAAATATCCATTTCCCCCTCCAGTAGGGTAGGAAGCAGAATCTTTCCCAGAGGGCAAAGGGCTGACTTGAGATGGCTGTGGAGATGGTCCAACACTGCCAGGCTCCAAGGTGACCTAAGCCGCCTTGTGGGCTGCCCAGGACCCAGTGTTGTCAGAACGGTCAAGATGCCAAGACTCAGGCACCCACCACCTTAGAAAGGCTGCTCCTGAAGCGGATTCAGCTAGCTCTAGCTCTTAGGAAGACAACTCCCCACCTGCTCCCTAATACTTTGAGAGGGGGGGTGGAGCTGAGATAGGGATATGGCCCAATTCCAGCAAGTGCTCAGGCCCAGGCAGGCAGCAGTGTGTGGTGTACCGACTCACTGTGGTCTCAGTATTACTTTTTCTGCCTTTATTTTTCCTTTCACTTCATTTACTTTAATGGTACTTTTCTTTTTAATTGTTGTGTTTATAGACTTAGATAAGCTGCCTCAGAAACATTTTGGAAAAAGGGAAATCTGAAAAAAATATGGAGGGGTACCACTGTTACTGATTTCTCATAAAACTTTACCAATCCTGACCAAAATTTAAATTTTTAAACATAGTTCTACACTTTGAAAAGCCCTCAAACTGTCTTTTATGAAATGCTGATTTTTTTAAATAATGAAATGTGTTTAACTTAGGTTATTCCTTATTCTAAATCCTAAAGAATAATTCATGGCTTAGAAATCTGGTTTTGAAGCTTTGTGTTGGCAGGGAGCTCTTTCCTCTTGCCATAAATCCTACCAGGGCTTGGGGATCCCTCTCCAGACAAAGCAGAGATGGACTAGAAGGCAGCTGCCCTGGAGGACCCTGAGCCCCTCAGCCAGTTCCTGCACAGTCCCACCCTGCTCCCAGGCCTGGGAGTCAGCCGGATGAATGTACTTCACATGGCAGCCATCTGTGAAGTGCACACAGGAGTATGGAAAGTGCTAGCTTCGATGTGAAAGCAGTTCTTAGCTACAGACTTCACCAGGTTCAATGTTGGCCCAGCAACCAAGCCAGACACTAGCCCTCCCTGCTCAACATGTGCGGCCCACTTACCATGATGACAGAGACCCCCGTAGTGGTGCTGTTCTGTTTGGGGAGCGCATTGTTAAAGTGCTGTTTGAGTTTACCTGTTACCTCAGCTTGCATATTATTCTCCTGGGAGGCATCATCCTGTAGAAAAAGAAAAAGAATCAAATACATTGATTTTTGACCCTCAAGTTTAAGTTATCTTTTCTTTAACAAGAGCCAAATCCCACCCTCCTCTGCTTGCTAAATGGGACCCTCTTAGCCATACTTTTAGGGTAACAATGATTTTAAAAGACAAAACAAAACTGCAATTATTGTTATTCAAGCAGCCCAATACACTCAAAAGGCCCCGTGCCATTCACTCTGCTCCTCAAGGTGGAAGTAGGCCAAGAAAAGCGTGCAAGACTCCAATGACACAGAGGAAGAAATTCTCCCAGCTTCTGAGACTTTCTCCCAAGGCACAAATGTCATATAATTAAGTATAGATCCCTCCAGTGGAAACATCAAAATTAATTATCAGTTTATTATTTTAATCAAGAATTCAGTTAATGGCTTGTCTCAGAGCTACTTGGTACCCAAGAGCCAAATCACTGAGCTCAGGAGAGCCACACCAAGATCCAGAGAGACAGGACTGAGGGGTCAGGATGGTGGGGGCAGTGAAGAGGCACACAGTCCTCCAAGTAAGAAAAGCCCTGGGCTCAGCTACTAACTTCACTCTCCTGGAGTCTCCAGGAGTGAGGACAATCTAAAGCCTGGCTCAACCAAAAGCCAAACTAGTTCAGAGTAGAACTGTGTCCATACTGTTTTCAACGGCTACTTTTTATTAGTAAATCAGCAGGCCTTGTTTTTTCTGAGGAGACATCTTTAGGTGAACTTTCAGTTAGAAGCCAAGTACCTAAACCATTTGTACCACCCAGCGACTCCATACTTGTTCCCAGTACCTAAATCCAGAGGTACCACCCTAATAAACCCAAAGGGAACTCTATCCAGCCTTCTGCTTAGCTTTGGGAAGCACCACCACGTGCCATGAAAACATAGGGCTTGGGCTCTGAAACATACTCGTCTTTGGAGCAAATCCTGAAAACTCTCAAACCCAGTACTATGAAAGCAGAAAGTCTCCTGAAAGTGCATCCCAGCCAAGCCCTTCATTTGCAGATGAGGAAGCTGAGACACAGAAAGGGAGAGTGACTTGCCCAGGTCACTCAACAGAGCAGGATCTAAAACTCTGGGGTCCTGTCAGTCTTCTCCCCTGCAGTTGTCTTCAGGCTACTTGTTCAATCGGAGGGACAGCCACCTTGTCTGCCGTGGAACATGTGGAACTCAGCAGGTGTGTACCCAAGGTAAGGAAGCATGCTGTTGGCCACAGAGCAGACAGACATTCACTCACGGAGAAAATGTGGGTACTTACTGACACCCAGGGGTGACTCAGGATTTGTCCTGCAGTACATCGAGCTTCAACGTTTACCTGAAGCATCTGACTGATTAATTCCTGGAAAGAAAGAAAGGAGAAAGAGGTAAGCCTGGCATCCACACAGAAATCTGCGTTTGCTCAAAGAACAGCCAGCACTGCTACTCAATCATTTCAACTTAAAAAGCTCTTTTGCCACCTACACTCTTAGAACCTGTGTCAGTTGGGGTGGAAAGAAGAGCAGGTCTGAGTACACTAGCCTGCTTCCCAGTGATCAAGGTGCTCTCTCCTAGAACTTCTGGTCATTACCACTGCTCCACAGTGTAAATTCACAGCAGTCTTCCTTTAGGTAATTCAGTATGTGCTATTGGTTCATTCCTGCGTTTTGATGTCTGCCCAATTCATGCTCCTTGCATAAATGAGAGAATGGACCCTTCGGAGTTAAAGGAACATGGGAGACTAGCAGAGACAAACCAGCTTCCAGAATGTGGTTCAGTGCTTCAGAGCCTTTACCATGGGATGAACTTACAGAAAAACCAGGTATTTAACTGAAACTTAAGGAATTTGCCCAGAGCTCAATACACATAGCTGCCACAGCCCCACACAACAGGTGCAGAAAGGTGGTCCAGAGACCCTCTCAACACAATACAACACAACACAACACAGGGAAACAGGCTTCTGTGGGTACCTTTGCCGAGTCCGTGATGTTATCCCAGTAGGGGGCTGGAAACTCCAGCTTCCCAGCCAAGATCTGGTCAAAGAGATCTTCCTGTAGATTGTTCTCACTAAGCCAACGACATAGAAATGGAAGAGAGTCAAAGTCACCATATAGCTTTAACAAAATGCCCTTGGGAACAGTGGGCAGAGGAGTCCAGGCTCTTTGGCTTGGGCCTTTCATACCTTGACTGAGTGTGGGTCTCAATCACACTTGTGATGGCACATAGTCCCTTTTAGAACATGAGCCAGGGCACAGTTTCACAGACTTGGGAGCGAGAGAGATTCAGACTTGAGAAGAAATGGAATCTACAAATAATATAAAGCCTCACTTGAGAAAAGATGTGAGTGAGGCATCTTCCCTCACTCAATCTGCCATGGCAACCACAGGATTGGAAAACCAGCAAATCTGAGTCAGAGCTCCTTGCTCTTTCTTATCCTACTTGCTTTTCAAATAAAATAGCTAAAGGTCCCTGAATGAGCCAGCATATGAAAAAGTCCTATCAAGTTCAGAATCAGAATAAAACTTCCATGAAATAATTAGCTCACCTTGAACTTGAATTTCATTGAAGATCAGTGTAAGGGAAGGAGCCTATCCAAGGACAGCAAGTGGAGTTGCGCAGGTGGAGGCAAACACCTCCATGCTGACAGGTAAGCTGTCCTCCCAACCAGTGTGCAACAGGCCCACCCTCACGGTGCACTTGCACACACAGCTTCTGCCTAATAAACACCTGCTGATTTGACTTTTGACAGGTACCCTGGTGGCATGTGGGTTCCTCATTGGGCTGCTAGTTGAAAGGTCAGCAGTTCAAACCCACCAGTCACTCCCCAGGAGAAAGATAAGGCAGATGTGTTTCCCTAAGGATTTATAGCCTTGGAAACCCTAAGGGGGAGCAGTCTGCTCTGACCTATAGGGTCAATGTTGTTGTTAAGTGCCATCGAATCAGTTCTGACTCATAGTGACCTTGTATAAGGTTACCGAGGAACAGCTGATGGGTTCTGAATTGCCAGCCTTGCAGTTAGCAGTCCAGTGCTTATCCTACAGTACTACAATCGCTTATTGGATTGTTAGAGGTTGAAGATGACTTGATGGTGGTGGGTTTGGATATGACTTTTGATGGGGAACTGCTGGGAAGAACTGGGCAAGAAGGGACCTGACCACTCAGAAAGGCATCTCCACAGCCACAGAAGCCCCTGGTCGGTGGGGGCCTTGGTGGCCAGAACGCAGAAGAGTCATTACCTTTCTCAGGCCATCCCAACCCCCAAACAGAACACTCAGGATGGTCTGCTAAGATCAGAATCAAATCCAGGAGTGGAATCAAGGGTCATCTGACAAGCATGCAACATTTCCAACAGAACTGCCAACAGTGCTCTCTCAACAGCTCAGAGGCGCACCTGGGACCCCATGCAGCCTTCTGGACAGGAGGATGGCTGCATGGTCAACCCTCTCAAGGGGGCAAAGGCAGCCATGTGGACCTTAGAAACAATTCTTGTAGGGCAGTGTCTAGAGACAAACTCCAGGGCCAAGTGCTGATGTGGCTGCCTCATTCCTGCTCTTTTGAGAAGCATTTGTGAGCTCTGTGAATACTCAGAACAGTTAGTGACGCCCAGGTGAACCCTCATCTGGAGGTCTGTGGAGACTGGATGAAGAGGCATACTGAGAAGCACAAGTCAAGCCAGGTTACCAGGCAAGGCAAGAAATCCCCTGGCTCTCCCGAAATATGATTTTCTCGGAGCGTCCACAAACTATTTCTCCCTATGTGTCAAAATGTTTTATTTCCTTTTCACTGTTGTTTGCCTGCTGAGTAAACTTGGCTTAGCTCTCCTTCAAAACAAGTACAGAACAGACCTACAAACACAATGAGATTTTATAGGAACCCTCAGACAACCAGAGAGTGCCAGGAAACAAAGATTTTAGAAGACTTAAATAGTGACCTACTCTCAGAATGACCCCCTCCATGTTGTTCTATTCACCTCCCCTGTATTTCTGATTGCTTGCAACAATCATATACAGAGGATGATTTGTGCTAAAATAGCCAGGGTCAAAAAGTAAAACCTGGGTTGTCTCAGCTATTAGCTTGGGACCCTACAGGATCTGTGCCGTGAACTGCAGGAGCTTTGTGAGTTTTCACCAGGAGAACAGGAAGCCAAAAATCATTTATGTTCTTACTAGTCACATACTGTTAAACAAAACAAAACAAAACAAAACCCTACTCTGATGAAATCTATATAGGTTGTATTAACACTTCATTTATACTCTACAATCTGGCTGAGATGCTTCGGGTTTATTTTCATTCAAAAACCACATACTCCTTGAATCAAGATGCTGTAAGTCTAAAAATATCCACTAAAAAATCCCTCAAAAGCAACAGAGCTTATATTCTCTCTTTCTTTTAAATGAAAAGTTGTCAGAGGTCAGAAAACGGTCACCTGAAAACATGGTTAGCTATTTCACAAATAATACTCAAAACACTGAATTTATGGTGTTTGTTTTTTTAAAGAAAAAAAATTTAAATCTCAGTACAGTCATACAAACAATACTTTTTTGCCAGTGGCTTAAGAGTGGACCTACTGCTTAGGCAAAAATGAAAATCTTAGTTGCTGCTTAGTATACTTTTTAGCAACCATGAATCTAATATTGAAAAAGACCAGGGGGAGAATACATGGCGAGTTAAGACTGAAATCTGAAAAATCTGCACGAAGAAAGAATGAGACATTTTACAGTGAAAGAAGGTTAAACGAAGTTCCAAGCTTGGAATTAAAATAATCTTTTGCGGAAAACATTTTAGAATCTTTGTTTGAAGGACTTTTCGACACAGACTTATGGAGAAACTCTATTTAATAACCTAGGTGCTTAAAGTATCATTTCTGTAATTTACTATATGTATTGCCACAAAATCTATCTAAAATGTCTCTCTCTGTATGTTGGGAAAATATGTCTATAGTAAGAAGCTAGAATTATGTTCTACTTAATTAAAACATGATATCATAAAGGAACACCATTTTCTTAAATTTCAAGAGTGAATTACCTCGAGCTGTATTACCTTTTAGCTGTATGACCAGCTCTAAATATAGCATGCAAGGACAGCAGCTTTCAGAACGAAATTTTACTACTTTTGATCAGTCAGATCCCATAAAGCAGCTGCTGTCCACTGAGCAACAATCTATGATTCTTCAACCTAAGTGTCATTTTGTAAACAACAACAAAAAAGTAAATCACAAAGACAAAGTCAAAAGGAAAAACTTCCAGGCTGCACTAGCAAATGGAAACACTAGAGGGAGTTGTGAGCATATAAAAACAACAACAACAACAACAACAACAAAACCCAAACCGGCTGACCTGGAGTGGATTCCCACTCACAGTAACCCTATTGGACAGAGTAGAGCTCCCAAGGGTGTAATTTTAATGGGGGCAAACTGTCACATCTGGGTAGACTGGTGGGTTTGCACTGCTAACTTTATAGTTAAGATCCAAGTGCTTAAACACTGTGCCTCCAGGGATCTTTGTTGGGAGCTGTTGTTGTTGTTAGATACTGTCGGGTTGGATCCGACCCATAGCGACCCTGTGTAGGGTTTCTGAGGAGCAACTGGTGAGTTTGAACTGCCATCCTTGAGGTTCAAACCAACGTTGCAGTCCAGCACATTAACCCACAGTGCCACACTAGGACTCCTTGTTGTTGTTGTTGTTGTTGGTGGTGGTGGTGGTGGTGATGGTGATGGTGAGCTGTGGAGTCAGGTCTGACTCACAGCAACCCTGCGCAGGGTTTCCAAGGCTGTAAATCTTTATGGGAGCAAAAACCCTCATCTTTCTCCTGTGGCAGTTTCGAACTGCTGACCTTGAGGTTAGCAGCCCGACTTGTAACCACTATGCTACCAAAGCTCCTTGGACTCCTTATTAGGAGTCTACAATTCTCTAAAATGAATTCCTGATTCCTTTTTTCCCTCAACTGTTCTAATGTGGGTTAGCCAATGAAAGAAAACTGCTGCAATTGGCCCCAGGATCACCTGCTATCAAAACACACTGCCCTTCTATACTGGATTAGTTCCCAAACCAGCCAGGACACAGTGTGATTGTAAAAATGACCACATTATTCCCCTTCCTCTGTGTATCTACGCGAAGTCCCTGAGCAGATGGCAAGTTTGGCTGCTAACTAAAAGGTGGGGGGTCTAATTCCACCCAAAGCCACCTTGGAAGAAAGATGCAACCATCTACTTATGAAAAAAAAGCAGGCATTGAAAGGCATATAGAGAGCACAGTTTTACTCTGACAGACACAGGCTCACAATGACCTGGCTTGATACCAATTTTAAAATTTAAAAGTATGTATTTAATCTTTTCACTCCTGGTGTGGCAGTGTAGGATCAGCACTGGACTGTGAATCACAAGGTCGGTGGTTCAAACCCACCAGCCCCTCCTTAGAAACCCTATATTGGGTCATAATGAGTTGGAATCTAAGCGATGGTACATAGCAACAACATTACTTAGCTTAGCTGTTTGATTTGACTAGTGGGAAATCAATAAATCTGATGGAAGCAGAGACTTGGAAAGTGCCTGTATACTGAGCCTTGCTCTTTCTCTTGCTGCTTTTGAGAATTCTGTATCCCTCATGATATAAAAAAGTGCAGATGAGCCCAGCAGATGATGACAGGCACAAGACCAAGTCATCTCTGTGGCTCCAGCTGACATGGAGTGAAGCCATTGGAGACCACTGAGTCCCAGCTGAGCCAGCAAGATCAGAACACCTAACCAATGCACAGAAATGATTTACATCCCTAATGCTGGGGTAGTTTGTTACTTAGCAAACCATAATTGTAACCCACCTAGGCAATGATATAAGAAAGCCATGGTACTGACAGTAAGATGTAAAGTGGTTTCAACCTACAGAATCCCAGCCCATTCCACAAAGTCATCACACTTAAATGCTACATCTATTACAACGACAACGATTAGAGATTTCTAACCCTAGTGGCACAATGAATGCTAACCTAAAGGTGAGTGATTCAAATCCACTAGTCATTCAGTGGAAAACAGACTTAATGATCTGCTCCAAAGATCATAATCTAGGAAACCC